CCGTCTGAACCAATGAGACGCTTCGGCGGACCACCCTCTCCTCATGCCGGATGGAGGAAAAATTCTATTTGGGGCTCGAGAAACTAACATACTTATTGCACGACTCCTATAATCACTTCTGTTGGATTTCTCCTCTGAGTGATGGAATAAAGTATGAATGTTAATTTGAAAGGCTCAACTTGTAAGGNATATCCGGATCTGCCACTTAGTGATGTTTGCAAAGAATGTGATAGTGATAGTAAATTAAGACCAGAACCTGATAAGAATTGCCATTACTTTTGAGTAAGGATGGCATGAAACCCATACTCATTCACGATATCAGAATTAATCAAAAAAGAGTCAGTCAATCAGAGTTATAAGAAAGCGAAAGGAAACTTAGACTGGATAATGGCATACCGAAGTGAAATGGTAAGCTGTGGGATGAGCTGTTTTGGCTCAAGAAGAATGGAGGAGATAATTTGCAGTATCCTTCCCACCTAATATTCCGCTGTGTCTCCCTACAGTCGAATAGATGAATTTGCACAAGAAAATTAATTATTTGCTCAGCAAATGATTTTAATCAGTCGTCTAAAGGCATCCTGTTTGCCATGCAAGAGTTTCTACACTAAACAGCAAGAATATTTGGTCACTTGTATGCCAGCTGTGGAGGCGAATGGTGTAGCCGGGAAGATTCATGGATTTCTTTTCATCACTCATTACCACACATAGAATACGACTTTTAAATGCATCGGTACCTCTCCAACACAATCGAGCCTTTCGCAACTTTGGTATTATATGCTCGTTCAAGATTTCTCTTAGAACAGGTAAGCCACTCCCTGTACATCGGTTGCTCGCCAGTCATTATCCAGGCCGAACCCTCATTCGAGCACCACTGCCGTTCTGAGTGAAAGTTGAGTGATTAGGCACATCCTATAATAACCAATACATCCTTCATCAATACATCATCTCTTGTGATTTTCCCACCAACTGTTATTCTGCTGTTGTTCAGATGATAAATTACATGATGAACTCTTGGTGTATGTGACGTGCAGGGGTATTCTGGGGTTTGCTGGTTTATCTTACCACATTGAGAGAGATCAATGTGAGAGCTAAATATACGAAGGAACGATACAAAAAAGTTGTCGTAAACTGATTGTGAGAAACAAAAGAGCGAATAGGCGCGCAGTGGCGAAAAGTCCTCTGAGTTCTCGAAGAGGGTAAAGAGAACAGCCAAGCAAAAAGAGAGAGCTCCCTCCCAGTTTCTCACTCCGATAATCGTCGTCCGCGCGTTCAAAGTCACACAGACGTCGACGGATGTGCCCCGTTAGGCTGCGATGAATAGCAGAAGACCAATATGCTGTCCATTACACTGAAGAGACCCCGTTTCCCTTTACCTTTCTATCATCTTATATGCCATAGCTTATACTCATAATATTCCCAGAAGTGGTATGGCAACAAGGATTACGAAACATTTGCAGGATGCATGAGTCAGCCCAGTACTTCTTGCACCAGCCAAATAAGAGGTAATAGCGCGAAAACCCGCCTTTTCCTGGTGGAAACCGAAAGCTTGTCGTCAATGGTTGTCCTCCTCCTAATGATCTAACCATAAGAGGGCCTTCTGAAGATGATGATTAGAGGAGGGAGGTGTAGCGCGAAAGAGGCTACTATCGTACGAAGCAGGTTCTAGAATCGACGGCTTGCTTGTTTACCGCTCATGATAACCAATTCCTAAGGAGTTGTCAATGTTTACTACGTTGTGTCATAAAATTATGGGCGCTCAGTCATTGCAATGTACTTCCAGCTTCCGAGCAAAGAATGATATAAATCCTACGCAAGTTTGCTTACATCACGAGCAACTGTAAGCTGCAATCAAATTTCGAACATGGAAACATGTCCAAAGTCTGTTGTGGAACTCCTGCCACACTCCCGTTACACTCAGGTCTCTCCCCTTCATTTCTTTACACCCGTTATTCACTCCTACTTTCGAGCCTTTTAACTGGGGTGACAAAGTCAAAGAGGCTTTTGAACCACTTCGTCTCTGCAGCTAGACTGTCGTCCTTTTGGAAGCTTGTATGCACTAGTTCAGAGAAGGAAATCATTCCAGAGCCTCTCTACGTTGTCCATCATGGCTACAGTTACGGATCTTCATTGATTTCCACGCCGGAATCGATGATGGCTCACCATTGCCATTTGCTCCCTCCTTAAAAATCTACATCGCTGCCTTCATAGTAATTGCTTTCGCGAGAGGTAGCATTTCTTAAATTTATAGCTCGAAAATGGCTGCTGACGTTGTTGCTGCTGTTACGATTCATGTTGAACATAGGGTGGCAGGACCTTACCGTAGAGCTCGTGTGGAAACTAACTAACAAAGTTTCGTTGTTTTTCACTTCATGTAGACTGACCGATAGGCATTGATGATGATCTCTTGATGGTACTGACCATAGCCGACAGTTATGAAGCCCATGAAAGAACCTACTGCAAAAACCGAAGCATCCATGGAAATAATTGAGGAGATTATCAGAAAATATGGTCAAATAAAAAAGCTAAATGTTGAGGTGCCAAATGAGATGAAATTTAGCTTTTAAAATAATCCCCGATAGCTTCTTGAGTCTGAAAATTTCAACTCACCTACGAAGTACTTACGAGTTCTAGAAAGGCACGCGGTCGAACGTTTTACTGTATTCACCCCCTAATAAGAATTGACTCAAAGGCACAGTTCACGATAATTTTGGGCAATCCAGATTATGACGAAAAATGGAAGATAAAGTGGAAAATAGAGCGATGAAGGCGAAGAAAGTGCGTGAATCTGTGTTTCCAGAGTGAAAAAAGGTTTCGAAAAATTGTCAATAGGGGGCTGGAAGAGAGTGAGACCAGAAAATCTAAAGAGGAATGGAGCGTTTGAACGAGCCATACAACGTGTGCCATTGAGTACGTGTGGGTCCTGGTGCGAATAGCTGACTATAGTGAGCAAAAATGCCCTTTAAAATTCATCCAGTCACAAGCATAGGTTGGCAAAACCTCAGTAACTGCAGAAGCAGCCTACCTTTTTCAGCCTTTTGAGATAGAAAATTGGAATAAGGATCGCAGCAGCAAAAAGAGTAACAGAGAATAAAAGAAAATGAGAAAAACATCGCCTCATCACTAGGCGATCAGCTGATTGCGTGCTGAATGTGTGGGTCCCAAAACGAACATTACAATCTGTATCGCCTCGACACTCGTCTGACACATCATCGGTCGAGAGGCGTGGCATCCGAGCGATCCGGACAGGCTCCCACTTTGCCTTAGCTGTTGAGTTTTGGGACCCGACAGGGTTCTTTCTGTTACTCTTGGGGTCCACGAGGTATTCATAGGGGAGGAAGTCAGAAACCATTTTTATCGTGAATTGTGCCTTTAAGCGCTGCGCTGGAAATGGGTAAGTTTATTGATCTAGATCGCTGCAAACGTGTCGGTCTCGATTGAGATAATTTTCAATCATCGGATGGTCCCAAATATGCTAAGCGAGCTTCCTCTCACAGGAAGATGCCAATGGAAGCTTCACAGGTATCTGACCTTCCGATTACTGGTCCTTATCACGGAGGATATCACAGCTAACACTTCTAAAGATTGCAGTGAAGTTACACGAAGATGCAGGCATTCAATAGTGCACCAAGGCGCTTCTGACCATCATCCCATTAAGACGTTTCTACTGTAGAATTTTGAATCTTTTTCGAAGAATTATGTCATCCTGCAGCACTTTTCCTACCTAGCTCTATACCAGGCTTTATAGACTGACCTTATTACCTCGCATTGTACTTGAAAATTATCGAGCCACCCAAATTAGGGTATGGGCTTTTCACAGCAGTAATTGTCAATTGAAGAAACCAACAAATAGAGTTAAAATGACGGAACTCAGAAGGTTGCTGAGTTTTTAGTGAGGCCTTCGTTATGAATAAGTGTAATGATGAATGAAGTCATAAAAGACTGGGAGGCAAAAATCTAACACGAGAACCTACTTGAGCATCTTTTTATAAGACATTCGGTGAAGATGTAGTGGAGTGGAGGGACGGCCGTTATCCAACCCTGAGGGCTAGAGCGCAGACAAGAAGGGGTGTCAATCTTACTCGTGTTTTGAGACGGTCCTTGGTCAAAGGAACATATGTAGTTTTGATCTAAACCTCAGGAGAGTAGGAGCGCCGGCCTGTATAAAATGTTTTCATCGTGCAAAAGCTGGGATGGGTTAATAACATCCATTGGCTGTCCCACCCACTGCTAGGAAACGTTTCTAAGCACTATGGGTCTGCTGACTTTGCTATCTATCCTCTTCTGCGCTCTGACGCCCAAATATTGGAGAGGAGCGGTGGCCTCAAGCAAATCTTCGCCTGTGCAGGCGCAGTGAAATAGTGCCTAGAAAAGACATGTTTAATCTGAATGAGTTAACGAAACCACTCTCGACCCACTCGAACAGAATAAGCTTTATCACTTGTCTTGAACTTGTGTTTTTTACTGCTTTTGCTATTTCCGCCGCGGTACGCGACGTGCACTCTGAACGACTGCACTCTAAACTAAAAGGCTGGGTGTGGGTTAGCACATCAACGCACACCCACGAAGTGTCAAATATGACCTCGATGAGATCTTAGCATCAGACCCCGGATGACGAAGCCAGCAACCATTTACCCGGAGGCTACAATCTCCCTACCCAAAAGTAGACGTCGCAGCATAAAGTATCCAAGCATAGAGATCGAATACTTCTCATGGTCATACAGTAATTTTAAGTGTGAAAAAACGTAATTAAAGGGGAACGCAAATATGAGCAAGTCAGTTGTAACCAGTACAGGATAACATTTAATTCAAACACTTACATTGCACACTGATATGGTAAAACAAGTGAGTACGATAGCATGTTAAATCCACAAGTAAAAAAATTGAGTACATTTAAGATAAAACCACCAGTATTGTTATGGATAAGAAAGAACAGACCGACATAATTACTTTTCGTGGACAGCTAGTAGTGGCAGGTCCGCAAGGCAAGAAAGCAAGACAATCACTGAGCCGGACCGCCTTTTGCCGCTTTCACGTTGTTTGAGGGGTCTTGCAGTTCTCCGCAGACTCGTCTGAATTCGCCCATCACAGAGTGAATGCTGCGAAGTTGGCTCTCAATACGTTCCGTCAATTCAGGATTTCCTACCTGAAATATTCATTTTTAAACCGTTCAAGATAAACAGTACTGCAGCCAACTTACGTTCTGTTTCTGTAAAGCCTCATACTCCTTCTGCCAAGACTTCGCACTCTCATGCAGAGTGCGATTGTCCCTTTCGAGAATTTTAACCTGAATAACGAGTAAAGTAAGAATTCGAATATCGCTTTCGGCTACTCGAACCTACCATGTGAACTAGGTCAGATACACAATGTTTGTTTTCGTTTTCCTTCTCAGAACGCACGATGAGGAAGCGATCGTTTAGTTCATTGCGCAATTTCCTTGCCAAATCAATAATAGCCGTGAAATCAATCTGAAAGCCGATTGAACAGGTCGTCAGCAGAGATGAAATCATAGGTAATTGTGACACTTTGCTACCTGTTTCCCAGCAGTATGCAGCAAAGACAATCGCCTTATTTGTTTCACTAGATCCATCGCCATCGCAGTCAGAACGAACAATGTTTGACGATTGGGATCGTCGAATTCTGAAATGGAAAAATTCTTCAGTGATCTCCGTGAAAGGATCAATTGGTCTCATACTCCTGGGCATTCGACGAGCTTCTGAAGAATACCACACACACTGTTCACCCCTTCCAATATACAAAATAAGGAAAAAACTTGCGAAAGGAGAACCTACTTTTCGCCTTTTCCGCCGCGGCATCGCTAGCAGAGGTTGCTGAGGCACCCTTCAAAGGAGTTCCACTGGGTACTTCCAACAAACTGAAACAGATTTCAGAAGTTACTCGAGTAACCATCAAGAGATCTCAACCACGAAAACAGTCGCTAACCCTCCGAGCTGAATTGAACTCTACACCCCAAGCACAAGCACATTTACAGTCATGAATTCCGCCGAAACAAACAGACCCAAACTTTTTTCCCGTTCCCCTTTTCATTATTACCCCAGAGAAGAGACTAATCTTCTCCCTGAGCCCGTGTATACGGTTCGAAGTCACAAGAAAGGCAACAAATGGATATTCGACATAAACACACCCTTTTTGTCTCAATTCTTCGATTTTTGCAGTCATGGCCGCCAGTTCGTTGGCCTGGTTTTCACGTCTACGTCTCTCATGATGAATAAGTCGTGATAATTCTTTGCAACTTTTCTCTATGCTCGCTATACCACTGAAAATTGTTCAGCGTCTCACTAAAGCACCACAAATAATAATATTAATAAAACTTTTAAATTGGAAACCTACCTTTTATCGGGCAAGGGTTTGATGTTCTTTACAACCAGCTGACCGACTGCTTCTCTCAACTCCGTATAGGTTGAACGTAAGGCGTCTAGTTCAGAAGAGTAGGAAACGGCGTCACACTCCATCTCAGCCAAAGTTGTTCGTGTCAAGTCCGTTTGAGCATCACGAGATTTCATCTGCAGAAAAACTTAATCAAGTTGCAAATTCTTGATGGTGGAGTAAAGCTCAAAATCAAGCTTACCTTAGCCATAAGTGCTGTAGTCTGCACTCCAACAACAGCTGTTAGGGGATTTGCGTTTGCGCTACGAGCACCTTTGTTTTCGTCTGAGGCAAAACTCGATACAACTTCAGCCATGCGGTAATTCTAAATAATGGATGGGCAAGTATTGTTGGAAAAGTGTCAAGTCAGTAGAAATATGACAATAACTAACATTTTCCTCGACGCAGCGTAACTGATCTTGCAAACATCGAATTTTTTCCTCTTTAGTGTTCAGCTCATTTCGAATCCTTTCTAAATCACGTCGAAGCGCAGATGACGTGCCCTGAATAATTTCGCATTTTCTCAAGTTAATAACACCAAAATCAAGCGCAATACCTGTGCTCTTGCAAGGTCCTTTTTCCAATTCTCGTGTTCTTCCTGTCGTCTTTCCTGTTCTTCATCTAAAGCTGCACGAAGGACGTCAAGTTTTGATTCACGCTCCACTATAACTTCCTTCAATGAGGCGTTCTGCAAATATGAGTGATCAGATACTGATAGCAATCTTCACAATTGAACTCATCTCCAAGTCCCCAACTATTTGCGATCATTGGTTTTCGAGAGCGATTTTTTTACCTTCATTTGAACCCTTACTGAAACTTCCATGGACGATGCGATAATGAAAGGAAAACTCTATAGAACCATTATGTACGCTTACTCGAGAACTTGACTTTTTGCAGATATACATGCTCGAACCTTATCTGTTGATAGCGACATTCGCAGTGTCAGATTATTTTGACTCTTGATTGAACATAACCCTGTTAGACCATAACGCCTTCTATGGGAGGATTACAAGAGTAAACATAACCCTGATAAACCATAACGCCTTCTATTGGAGCTTTACAAGAACAACGCGACCGTCCGAAGCAAGTTTTCCAGTCATTTCATGAACATGAACAAGTATGGGTCTAGTAGGATAGAGTTATTGACGCTAGACAAGCCCTTTTCGAAACGGTTCCTCAACCAGCTACTTCAATTCAGAACGTAGTGACGTTTTAATGCGTGTGTAGCCAGGCGTTGCACAAGTCAGTGTTTTTGCCGTGGCAGACAAGTCTGGTACCGATTAAGCGCCCGCGATAGGAAAGAAGGTTCGGTTGACCTGGGGAAATATAGTAGTAGGTCCCTTATCCATAGACGGACCTGTGGCAGTGCGTCACGTGCCACATACAAGTGCTCTCAAGGAAGTATGAGCACTGCATACCAAACAGCGACAGAGTAGGACACCCATGCAGTCAAGCGCACGCGTAACATCCAACTCCCAAACTAAGGGGTAGTCTTAGTGTTAGCAATTCCACCGCGGATTGATGTCGGCAAAGGCTCACAAATTTAGCCAATGATTATCTAATGCCAGATCCCTTAGTCGATGAATTGCAAAGCACCTGTGCCGCTTTTCATATCACTCTTGTTGTTGGGCATATAAATATTATAAATTGATGACAGCGCAACAACTAACAGTAACGACGCTTTAGGAATCCTACTCTGCCGCTGTTTGGTATGCAGTGCTCATACTTCCTTGAGAGCACTTAACCTGGTGCTGTATCCAGAAGTACCGCTAGAAAAGGGTAGACCGAGCAGACGCGGGGGTAGAGAATAGTCTTGTGCACATGGTGGAGTCTTCCTGGAGTGAGGTTTCTGTAGAATCAATGGTACATTACAGCCGTTGCCTCACGATGGTATGAAACCTGAAGGTCCATCCTACAAAGGCAGCCGCTCGCTGCTGCAACCATACATTGCAATGGTAACAAACAATGAACTGCGACGAACCTAATGAGCTTGGCTATCACTCTACAACCATCCCACCTCAACCATTATGAATTCCTATAGCACTTTGGATATTTCAAACATTGAAATTGGTGATAGCGACGAGAAGCTTCAGACGTTCATGAGGAAGCAGACTACCAACTTCTAGAGACCTGCTAGTACAACTTGTGAAAATCACTGACGTTAATAAGGTTAACTTCGGGCTAATATTTTTCGTTCTAATAATAACTCCTTCGAATGCTTCGGTTCAAACATAATGCAACATTCAACTCATCGAGCTCAGAAAGATTGAGGACTTGTGCATTAGCCCAAAATATCAACGTCTCGTCTAAATGTTGAGCCAACTAATTTCGTCTACATTGATAATGGGAAGGCTCAGACCGACGATATCTGGTTTGAAGCCTGACTATACACTATGAGCGCATCGGAGCACCACCGAAATTTATGCAAGAGTATGGCATTGTGAGCGCGCCACGTGCGGCTTTCAGCCGTAGCCCCGGCCATATTTTACGATGCTGAATTGCGCAAAGTATGTAGAGAAAACTAGGAAGGCACGTGGGCCCGTTCAGAAGTAGTCGATGTCACCTACTCAATATGAACTAGATTTTGCCTATGCCTATGGGAACACGCTCTATATTTTCTATAAGCTCGAATATAAAAAAATTGAATGCTCCCACTTGAACTAACTGATTTGTAATTAATTGGATGTAAAGAGTTGAAGCACAAGCTTCACAAACAAATATTCTAAGAAGATCTATGAGGGAAAAGTGACGCCATTTTATCTTTCCCCTTCCCCTCGAAAACTATTGCGTAAGCTTGAAAGTACTGCTGAATCGAGAGGGCGAGATAGCGGCGTGGCGATAGACTGTTTCACAGAGCTCTTAATGTTAACGATGGCTTCAATCGCTACAACTAAGAGCTCCTTACTAATCTTACATAATTTCCAAAGAAGGAAAAAAGCAGTGGATGAGCATTGAACCAGACGGAATGGGTAGACAAAACTGACCGAATCTTTAGCAGCAGCAAGTTTAGCTTCCAACTCTACGACAAGCACTTCCTTCGCTCCCAGCTCCTTATTTAGAGCGTCCGTCTCTGAACGTAATTGCAACATGTCACGTTGGACCTCTTCGTTGAGCTTCATCTGAGACTGGAATGAGGAGCCTCAAGAACAAATAGAGTTTCGTAATGATACAGCAAACGACAAACTTCTATCAATTCTTTGAGTTCGAGCTTCTCAGCTTCATCTGCTTGAATAGTAGAGATGAGTCGTTCGCGTTCCTCAGCCGTACTGATGAGCCTCGCCTCCATTTGTTTTACAGTTGATTGCAAGTCATCAGCGGTAGAAAGCGCCAAGTCGCGAGCCTCACGGGCCTAAAAATAAAGAAGTAGTAGTGCTACAAACGCCATCGCGGTGATCAAATTTGGGATCAATTCTGGTGATAATTGAAAAAATTAGTAATTTAAAGGTGCATGAAAGTATGATGCGCTTTGCCCTGACCAAGTGTGCAACGTATCCGGCATATATTCCAGTGCATAGCAGAGGCAGTTGAACGCATATACACCCCATACAATGACTTGTAGGGAGCAGATAGCATTCATGCTCTTGTTTTCATTTCTTTACGCAAGTTCCAAGTGAGTAGGAAGAGATGGTTCAGTCAAAGTCCTTCACACTTTTGAGCCCTGCACGATTTTAACCCAATTGCAATATCTAACAAGGGAAGGATCCCAAGTCGAAGTGGCCATTTGAAATGGGACCTATACTGCTAGACGTATTTTTTGATGCTGATTTTAAATCTGCATTCAAAATCTGCCAAACGATTCTCTGAACGAAGTTATGGAGGTGGTCTCCGGAGGGCGCTCAACAGGGGAAAAGCACATAAGCCATGGTCGCCGCCAGCCTAGCAGTGGCGGCTTGGAGTGGAGGTATGCGTGACGCTTTACAGGCACGGGACCAGGGATCGGGTTTGATGGGCGGCGGCGTTTTTGCATCTTGCAGGACTTTTTCCTCCAAGGTGTAAAAAGCTTTCTATATTAGCTTTACCGCCTTCGGCGACTTTCTAGTTGCTGGAGGCGAGTCAGTTCCTAGTTAAACCGTCTGACACCTAACCCAACCACCAACATTACAAAAACTCTATTCTTATTGTTGTAAATTTCACCTATCCTAAGCGGATGCGATAATCTAGCATGAAGTGTTTAAAAAAGTCTTTCACAATGAGTGCAACAAATGAAAAATTCACTCTTCTGATAACACCTTCCACCTGGATTTGTTTTGTCTCGCTCTAACAAATGTTTTGGGAAGATCTTGCGAGATAGAGAAAAATAGAGAAGAGAAACTATCTATCAATTTGTGCTCCTTCCTTGTAAGGCGCGTTCAACATCACAGGATCCGAAATACTCCTTGTTCTTTAGTGGCACATCCATCCATATACACCATACTTTGCCGGGTTTGCCACATGGCAACCCTCACCTTTTTCGAAAACTGACCGCAACCCCCACCTTTCTCAAAAACCAATCGATAGCAGCAGGTTTAAGTAGGAAATGACTCGCTTCCAGCAACTAGAAAGTCGCTGAAGGCGGTAAAACTATTATGAAAAGCTTTTTACATCCTAGAGGAAAAAGTCCTGCAAAAAGCAAAAATGCCGCCGCCCATCAAACCCTATCCTTGGTCCCATGCCTGTGAAGCGTCACGCTTACCTCCACTCCAAGCCGCCACTGCTAGGCTGGCGGCGACCATGGCTTATGTGCTTNAAAAAAAAAAATCATTCCTATTATACTAACCCACCTCTTCGACAATCGATCGCAGGTGATTAATTTCTTCTGTTTTCAACGAAACTTGCTTTTGTAGCTCTTCTAAGCTGTTTTGATACAGAGAGGAATCTAAAAAACGAAAAAAGTAAATCTGAAAAGATAGAATGGGTGCACGCTTAGCTTAGTACCTCCTCCTTCATCGGCTCGCGCAGTTTGTACAGAGAAACATTCGGTGGTAGTTTGCGCCATTGAGATATCAAGCCGGAACGATGTTTCATTCAATGACTGCTCCCAAGCCGATAACTCCGTCTGCATTCTATTGACACTAACAACAGTTTCTGTAAAGAAGATCAATCTTACTCATGTAAAAGAATGATAAAAGTCATATTTAGGGCCTGTTGGATTGGGACGATTCGAGCAGTACCTTCGATGGCGTCCATAACTACACGCTTTTCCTCGATGGCAGTATTCCATTCAAATTTCATTGCACGAATTCTGTCAGCCAAGCTTCTCATTTCTTCCGTTCCAGTTCCGAGCTGCAAATATAGGAACATATAAACTGAGCAAAGCAAGTGAAGGAATAAAAAGCATCCACTGACTAGTTCCAGGACGTCTTCGAACAAGACTCCTGAAGATTTGAGATTCTCGAACATTTGGTGCATGACATCACGAAGTGAAACAAGTTTCGTCTAAATGCATCCCATTTTTTAAAATCTGGTAAATAGGAAACTCAGATTGTGAGTTAGACTCTGGCTTTTTTAGCTGTTAGATTGGAAACCTACTTTGAAAGTAACTATCTCTTTCGATGTGTTCATAGAGCGACTCATAAGGTCCATCAGCGAGGCGTTCATCTGAAAAAGAGGAACCCAGAGAGTCGATGCAGAGAATAACGTTTACCCAGAACATCACCATGGGCAATCGCTTCATCCCCATTAAGCGAACAAGCAGAGACTTACCATTGACAGATTAGTAGCATTGCTGGGGTCTACTTTCTGCTGCGATACGTTGATTCGCTCTGGACTAGCAGGAACTTCAGCAACAACAGCATCGCCACCACTTCTTTCAATACCAGCAGTATCGTCTGTGGCGCCTGAAGTCACCTCACATATCATTATCGAAGGTGTAGTAGACAACCTGTACTTTGAGATTCTCTTAAAAGACAGATAAAGTAAAACTTTGCAGCAAGTTTGAAAGTCCCACAGTTCTGCAGCCCAAAAATTTCGAATACTTCGGATAAGATGGAGAAAGACTCTTATGATGATCCTTTCCAGAGGTTGATAATCAGTATATGGCGACTATTATACAATAGGGCATAAGCGTTCTTTTGTGTTTCAGACCAATTCTTGAGTACTTGATATTATGTTTGCGCCACCCCTTGAGCAGCAATGAGCGGGTATGTTCCGGGAGGCTTGTTACTAAGACAGATTCTCTCACTAAAAGAGTGTGCGTTCGATTTGGGGCGACAGTGAACGACCGCAACTACAGTCTTTCTCCACTCTCTCACTGGAAGAGCATGTTTGTAAGCTTCCTTGCTTGATTCCAAACCATTGTCTACCACCAATTGACGCAATTTCACTGGTTAGTGGTTACTATAACTCTTATTCCACGTGACACCAGCTACGGTTGGAATACCTTCCGCCAAAAACCATTAGCAGTGTGCCTTTAAAAGAAAGCAGATAAGCAGAAAGTGAGCATAGCTCCTCCACCTGTCTCGGCTAGCCAAGCGAGGGGTATCGCACAACAAAGGACTATCTCACGATTGCAAGGTAGAGCTCAACGAATACGATGGTAAAGGTTTGTGAAAGTGCATCAGATGTTCTCATAAGCGAAACAAGGTCAAATAATTGTAAAGATTCTTCTTCGAATGCTGTATCCATATGATGGCAAAGAAAGGAAACGGCCAGAATTGGAGGGAATAGAGATGCTGGATTAAAGTTTTTTCATATAGCATTTGACAGTTCTTATGAACACTATATTACTTGAAATAAAAATCAAACCATTGTGATGAAGAACCGATGAAGAGATAAATGTTCCCTTACCTATGCCTTTTAGTATGTTGAGAACGCTCTCATCGCAGTTCGAAACATTGTCAGCCAATGTTTTCAGACTTTCCAGTATTTCTTGCTGCTGAAAAGACTTTGCTCAAAGGAGAAATTTGCACTGCTGTGCATTCACTCATTGTTAGTCGAAACTGGTCTTTCGCACATTCAGTGCGAACTTAGTACACTATTCTACAATCGAAGATCCTTGGCCGAGTCCTGGCTGTAACTGTAGATGTGAAGTGCTTTCACTGCTGCTTATGAGTAAGCCATCGTATCTACCCAGAACTTGAACAGAAACAGTACCTTCTTTTCAAAGTCTTCAGCAAAGAGATTGGTTTTCTCAACAATAGAGCGGTCTACTCGATCTGAAGAGTCAACATTGGAACCAAAAAGGAAGTGCAAGAAGGTTCTTACCAACCAGGCTTTCCAGATGCCGCACTCGAATCTGTGCTACAATCGCTTTGATCCTGTAATCCAAGAAGAAAAGTGCACTCTTTACGCAGCTCCTTGTTTTGCTTCCCGAGAACCCGGAGGACATCACGAACTTTTTCCACCTAAAGTAATTGTTTCATTTCCATTCAGTGAAGGTTTCATTCAGTGGGGTTATTCAATCTAGAAATAAGATAGGAAAATCAAGGTTATCGTCGTTATTCCTATGAATAAAGTGTGCAAAATTCATGGACACTCAGCCGCTTATCTGGCAAAGCAATACGGACCAAAGAACGATGGTAAAAAACCGAAATAAGTAACACTTTGCTTAATGACCTTTACTTCAAAAACGTTTACCGAAACGGTTAATTTTAAGCCAAGGGAAGGGAAAATTGAATAATTCAAAGAAACGAATTCAAAGAAAAGCTAATCTCTTCTTATCCTTACCAATCTCAAAACTTCCTCTTTGTTGTGAGCAGTGAAAGACAGATTGCTGTAGGAAAGGTTGGCGTTCCGGATCTTCTTCTCCAACGCATGGCACCGAGACATGTATGCCTATCACAATTTCACAGTTGTACAATATGTACAAATAGGAGTAGATAGATAACAAAAGGCCAACCACAAGGGCAGAGCTGGTCTTATTGCGTTCTTCTTCTTCGACGCGTAAACACCCCTCAAGATGGTCAATTCTCTGGAGTAGCGTTTCCAAATCACAACCTCGTCCCACAGTAAATGTCTAAAAATCATCTTTATTAACAAGAGTGCGAAATTGAATTGAAAAGAAGTCAACTGCTAAAAACTTAACTTGCTTTGTGACATTGCTTCGCTGAGCATGGTTAGCTTCTCCTCGAGTTCTTTCGTTTGCTCATCAATTTTCTGACGTAGTGCATTGTTCTCCTTTTCCATCGCAAATAGGCGTCTCCGTAGTTCTTCCGACACTCTTCAATCATACACAACCATTCATTATCAAAATAAGAGATGTCTATGAAATTAGAAAAGCCCCAATCTCAATGAGTTAGTGTACCATTACACCGAACATTTCTTCTAGGCAGAGAAGGCTAATAAGAACAGTAGTACTCTTTACAAAATCGTAGAGAAAAGAAGAAACAAGCTCACATATCACCCTCGGAACGTATGGTCCAATCGCTGTCATCGCCCTTCAAGCCATCAATACTCGTGGGTAACTCATCAAACTTAGCGATCTCTGCCTCTAACACCCTTACGCGTTCCTTGTACTGAAAATGAATTTTAAAATTCTACAAGCAAACAGAGAGATTTTTGAAGGTCACAACGTACTTGCTCGAGTTCATGAATCACACTCTGACACTTCGTCTCAGATTCATGTAACTTCCTCTGTAGTGCCTCGATCTTCGTCTGAGCCCGAACCTCAATGCGCTCCATTTCAAGGTTGTTTTGACGCCTTTCCTCAGCCATTTGCTTGCGTTCATCATCCAGATCGAATTTCGACATTTGCAGAGAGTAATACTGAAACAGTTACCATTCCATGAATAACGGGTGACGTTGCCAAATGCTCTCGAAACATGATCTCCTGACTACAAGGAATGAGGGAAAGTAGTATACCAGTAGTATTCTCTGTTCTTGCGCCGCTTTGTATAGAGCACGTGAAAAAACTACCATGTTTTCGATCGCTCGTATTCTCAACTAATATTCATTGAGAGTTTAAAATTTGAAGACGGGATTACGGTGTTTAAGAATCCGCAACCAGCACTGCTTACAGTTTGACGTGGATTCTTGACCACGTAAGGAATATACCGATGAAGTGGATCGTGGAATGCGGAATCACCGTTTCAAGTATTAGTTGCATACGATCTATAAATCGTGCATCATGGAGATACAAAACCACGTCGCGGTGAAAAACAAACCAACTCAAGTTTTCAAAAAATTATTTTGTGAAAGCAAGAATCCATCAAATTTTGCACGATACCGTACGCGTCCATTGCTAGAACCATTTAGTTTCTCGATGAGCATGAAACAAATTTCTTTTTGCAATTTTTCGACAGCGACATGTGGTATTTCCACCGAAAGCTGGTTTACATCTGGATCGCAACTTATTCTCGCAGTATGGCTCTCCATGTCACTGAGGGAACAATCATGCCGCTGAACCTACACACCCTCTCCTTTCACAATTGTCCTTCAATCTCACTCCACTCCTCTACTCTAGATTGACAAGATCATATTAACCCTAAAGTTCCCTGCTAACTGATAGGGCGGGGACATTGGTGGTAAAAATATGGATGAGCAATTGAAGCAAAGAAAAATCGGGTAGGTGGCTACAAGAATATTCTCACCTCTTCAAGAATATCTTGAACTTCTCGAGGTTGAAGAGATTTCAATTCTGCAACCTTGTATTGTTCGACATCGAGTTTACTCTAAAAAAAGAGAACGTTCTGAAAGGAAACAATAAAAACCTTGGAATCGAACCTTTAAAACGGCAATCTCTTCTCTGAGGTGTTTGTTCTCCTCGAGAGTCTGTGACAGTGGCACTTTATATGGACGAGGAGGTTTACCCGAAGAACTACAAATATTTCCAGTAGACATGGCTGAAATGAAAAACTTTTACAAAAAAAAAACATATAACTTCCATCATATGAAACACGTACTCAATTTGGCGATTCTTGTAGGTGGAGTACAATTGATGGGTAGCTCAGGTTGCGACAAAGATAAACGACCAGTAGTTGGCTCCGAGCTACACAAATTTGGCGGATTCGGAGCAGTTGGCGTTCTGACTTCTCCAGCCGCCAAATTATTGACACTTCTGGAATACTAACAGTCATTATCGAAAAATATCCTCACTAGAGCTTATTTCTTCATGAGAAGTGCACAAAATAGTTGTTGCACCTGGGTGTTGCCGTACAAATGAAGCCCACTACTTATTACTCAATGGCCATGATTGGATGAAGCAGATTAGTAATCCCTAGCAGTAGTTATACCGACAACATACGAATAGAGTTCCACTAATCCCTTCTATTAATAACAGCCCCGGCCGTCAAGGTAATAATGGATATCAATCGAATAGAAGGAGGTTATGAGCTTACATATCCTGCGTAAGTGTAGTTGTTGATGCGTCCCCAGCTTCTCTTTCCTCATCTTCGAAGCTGCTCAGATCGCTGGTAATGTTCACGCTCTGTTCATCACGCCAGTTGAACTCCATTTTTCACTAGAAAATGCAGCAACTCAAGCCGATAAAACCTCGAGGGAAGTCTGATGTGAAGTGACGTTAAAACTTTTACAATACAAACATGAAGGCGGTAATTCGAAAATGTAGCAGAAGAAAGGAACTACTCTCGAAATTCTATATATCCTTAGTTTGACCTTAAAAGTGGTCTGATTCCATTAGAAACGCCTTAAGGATTTTATATCCTTGCTCTGCTGCTTATCCTTCTTTGTTATTTCCTCGTAAAGGACGAATGCGTGACTGCAACGTTAGAGAAGGGGCACCGGGATTGCTCAATGTTGGAAAGGTGTGGAGTCTGACCCCTACCACCACTCACAAACTGAATTTTTACCGACACGAGCTATCAGTGAGACCTGAACAACACCAAAAACGAAACTTACATACTACCCACGCACCCCACTCCCTTGCCTCCCCTCAGCAAAGGCTTCGTGGAGTGCAGTGCATGCAAGGACAGCTTATTCGACTAATGACTAGAAGAAATGTTGTCTTCTCCCACCCAACCGTAATGGCACACTGTGAACCGAACCCTGTCATCAAATCTGAATATTCCCCAAAATATAACAAAATGACTTGACAGACGCGTGGAAATAACGTTCTCCAGGTTTAGGTGAATAGCGTGTGTAACAGGACTAATCCTACTTTATACAATTCGCTGAGTGTGTCTGTTGGATTGTCGGTGTGTGTTTTTGGAAATTCATAACTCCTGTTCCCGTGGACCTAGGAAGCTCAAATTTGGCAGGAGTACAGGGGGGCAGCATGGGAACACCTATGGCAGGTAGTTGGACCGGACTCCGTCTATAGGGGGCGGTTCGTGCGCGATAGAAGTTTTAGGCCGCAAATTCATAATTCCTGTTCCAGTGGACCCAAAGCGTTCAAAATGGGTAGAAGTACAGAAAGCAGGATAGCAACACTGATGATAGGTGATAAGTGGTGATAACAATAAAAAGGAGTTGATCAAAAGCCTTGAAAGGCGAGAGCCACAGAACCGTTACTTACTTCGTGCTAACGGCAGAACTTTGGCACTTCGATAAGGGATGTGATTAAAAAAGGGCCGTAGATATTCATTGATAGAGACTAACAACATTTGTTAGAGACTGATAGAAACTGATAGGAAACGAGAGCCAGTAAGTCTACAACGTCTTCCATGTTAACAACTGAGCATTCCAGCAGATAGTGCAGGATGTGAAGGGACCGAAGTTATAATAATTAGTGATAAGGACAGATAATAACAAGCGAGAAAGCATTGCAATTCACTTCGTGTCAACAGTGGAACCTTTTCAAAGACGGCAATGTGGGATGTGACGTGGTCGTAGGTACTTTGTGACAGGAACAGATAACAAATGATAAGAACTGTTAAGGGGCCTTAGAGAGCAAAAGGGTATTTATGATCAAACACTGACTCTTTAATGCTGTAAATGCTGTAGTAGCGACCGATCAAAGACATTTCTCCATAAAGAAATTAGAATTCTGCTCATTTCTTGCTATTAAGCTACGAAAGTAACGCAGTAAGCTTTGTGACACTATAAAGTACCATGATTCCCTTTTTGTTTTGTGACAAATCATTTGTGACTAAACTCATCTGACCGCTAATGATTTGTGATTCCCAATTAATGAAAAACCGGGGAGAAAATATTCCAATGATAACGACATCTGTGATAGGCGTTATTACCCAATTCTGGGTACCATTCAAGACATTTGTTGTCAATCAATTAAGCCATCAGTGTGACACAATTTCGAGATAAAGAGCAATTAATTGAGACTTCTAATTGGTATATAATTGATTATAATACAGAAGAAATCGCTCCCAATTCGGAGCTAATACTGAGGGTGTAGAGCTTTCAAAGAAAAAAGGAGAATCCAAAGTGTTATTTACGCATAGAAAATTTCTTACATTAAGGAGGAGCGCCCGGCGAAGCCGGGCCACACCATTGGAAGGAGAGAAGCCCGGGGCTAGCCGAGCCCGGGGTTCGCCCTGGTACGTACAGTGAACGCTTTGAATGAATCTCGAACATGATCATCTCCCCGGCAAGACGAATTCAAAACGCGATTCTTGCCGCCAACAATTTGTGTACGGCCTTTACTATGGAGCACGTTATTCTTCATTTAGTGTCAGCATCTCGGAAAAGCATGGTTTAGAACGATAAAATAAGTAATATTTTACTACTCCAGTATTTCCACCTTCTCGGAGAAGCCAGCAAGAAAACACTGGTAGTACGATAAGGCTCTTTTTCAGCCCTCATCGAGCTCAATGGGTAGGTTTCCCGAATTGAATACCACGAACAAATGGAAATATCATACCTGCACGCATCACTCCGTGATACCCTCCACCTTTCGCATGATTATCTGGTTGATACTCTCTCAACGTCGACAGATACTGGGGATTAAAGAATTCGTAAACACTTATTGCCAGATTTTTAATTGATCTTGAGTGAGTTTCAAAACAACTGATCTATTTGACATGACGATCGCCTTCATTGCTGGTCTTCTACTGATATTTACAGTGAATGCAGAGGATGATGTGGGTTTCCTAGGCGAAGACATTTATCGCAATAAGAATTTGAATTTATGATTGCAGTTATTCGTAGTCTGCAGCGTAAGCTTATAACTCTTGCAAAACAATCTGCCATATCCGAAAAAAAAAAGAACTGATTTACCTAATTGGTGCCGGACTATGAGAATGGATGTTGTATCATGCTTGAGGAGAAAGTCAGTGATCATTAGTTGCAAATGAGAAGATCATGAAACCAAATAATATAGTGATACATTGTGGGGCGTGCTCCCATACTGTTGATTAACCTCAACTTGGCATACCGATGTCTTTCGACAAGACAACTTTCCCACCGTTTCCTACAGCTCTAGGATAGTAAAAAGTTGCACCATCAATTTCGAAGCCAATAGGCGAATTCGGAGACGAAAGTTTCTGAGTTGCGCACCTGTGATAGTTTCATGTTTCTCTTATCATCAACCATCTTTCCCAAACCATAAGTTGTGGAAACAAGGTGAAACGGTCTGAGCCTTATTCTCTGGCTCAGAACAACTGCTTCTTATTATTTCGTTTAGTGGACTTTACCTATTTAAAGGGTTTCGGGTAGTCCTGGTTCCAAATAAGTATAGCCTGTCTGATCTACAGAGAAACCCCCAGAAACATCTAATTTCACACTGAAACCTCTCTCAGAAAGTCACTTCCGTCACTTCATAAGCATTTGGATCGTACTCCACAAACATTTTAAGCAGAGCCTCGAATAAGCCCGTTCTTTCGTTTTTGAGGTAATGTTAAAATGAAATCGCGACCGTTCTCTGGCTCTTACAAATAAGAACGGCTCTTAAACTTTGGAGCGTAACCCTTCGCTTACCTTGAGCTTCATTCCTTCATCATTATCTCTACCGAATCACAAATGGGTTTGTCACAATGACCTATGCAGCTGAACATCCAAGATAGTGGGAGCATTCTTTCGCGTGAGAACGTTTTGTTGAAATCGTTTCAACGCAATCCAGACGCCAATGTGCTCAAGGATGTTAAACTCTATCACTACGGCTGCCTCTACAACAGCTGAAGTGGTTTCATCGACGATCATTGTTTTCAGTAAGTAGCTGTGTTTTTTGGTTCCATGCGAAAAAAGTAATTAAATACATAGTTCCACACTTATTTCTCATTTCGAGCACCAAGCTTCGGTATTTTTTTTTTGATTTCTTCTTAAAGTCAACCGACGCTTTGCCTTTCTACATCTATCAATCCTGTCCTTTTTTATGTATTGACAATGAGACGTAGAGCGGAAGTGATGTAGTGGCAAGTGGCGCACTATTTCACACGCATGGGCAAGGCTTCGAATCCCGGATCGATATCCGCCTAGGCCAAGGAAGCCTTCCATCGCCCAGGGTCATTTAGGTGGTACCCTACTCTTCCGGAAGGATGAAAGCACTGACTGTACATCGGTTGGCCAGCAGACCCTGTCCAGCTGAAAAGGAAAGGGCAGCGTCCACAATGGCATGGGTAGGTAACATGGAGGTCATAGTATTGTACAATTAAGAAAGCAATAGAGCTCAATGCTCAAACCAGGAGACTTCTCCAAGAAGCTTCAAACAAGAGATAACGGGACATGATGGGAATGGACCTCACAAAACTGAAGTAGCTGCCGCTGCCGCCGTAGTTAGAAAGAAGTGGAGACAACTCAGGAGGACAGCGGACCTTGCGAAATGCTGAAAAGGAGGAGAAAAGAAAGAAGTCTACAGAGTTGACAGATGTCTGAAGTGACATTCGCATCTCTTTTGGAAGCATGGTCAAGCCTCTTTAATTTACTAGACACATACCAGTACCTTAATGTGCTCCCAAGTTGAAAAAAAACAAAAAACAAGTAATAAATAACGAACCAAACAAACCCCAACATGATAACTTTTTGGAAAGGTAATTAATGGTGATCAAAAAAG